TTCACTTGCTGCCTAATGTATCCCACCCACTGACAGGAGCCATGATAACCAGATATTTAATTACATTAGTCACATTTTAATTCAGCTTTATTTTTTCTTGAAAGTGCAACTCTATGCACACTAAAAACCAAAAATAGAAAAATTGATTTGGAATTAGTCATATGCTAATTAAAATAAATATCTAATGGGATAAAGAGACCACACAAAGCATAAAAACATTTGAGCTCTTCTGTATTTGTCACTACAGTGTTTATTTGTATTATTGATAATTATTATTATTTCTATCTTGGTAAAAGTGTAAAATTAATCTAATTGGGTAGAGCTGATAGTAGTACTGTAAGCATGTTTGTATTTCCAGTAGGAACAGTACTGCTGCTCTATAGTAGAGTAGTAGTACAGTAGAGGTTATATCCAAGTGTCTTTGAGTAATGAATGTCAGTTTAATGACATGAATGTAAATATGTCTCACACACAAACACGCTCGGACAAGTTTGTACAGTTATCCTTGTTAGGACATTACGCTGAATTGCATGCAGCCCCTTACCCTGACCTATATCATAACCAATTCATTACTAACCCTAACCTTAACCTAATCTCAATTCACACCTTACCCTTTACCCTAACCACAACCTCAGAAATGGCATTTTGCCGCATTAGGACCGCTCTTTGGTCCCATGAGGACTACTGGCCCTGACAAGGTCAGTGTTTATGCCAGAAAAGGTCCCCCATAGGTAACAAAACCACATACACATTTTATAAAATAAAAGTCCTGAACCAGCTGGTATTTGTCTAAAATTTGTAGAAAAAGAACAAAAACATCCGATAAATGATTCAGAGTGTAAATATGAATAAACATATGAGCAATACAACATGAAGTCATCATGTATCAGCCAGCAGAGAGGTGAGTTCAGGTGTGTGTGTGTGTGTGTGTGTGTGTTGTGTGATGTTTGACCTTGACTCTACAGTTGTCGCGCTCAATCCTCAGCTCCCGTGCCCTTGGCAATGTGGTTGTCATGGCAACCACGGCAGCTAGCAGGCTCATTGGCTGGCAGGTTGAGGAGGAGAGTCGATGTCGAAGGGTGTGTGTGTGTGTGTCTGTTTGTGCAGAGCAGACAGCATCTCTGAGATCAATGGGGCTTTGTGGCTGACACACCTGTTCTATTTCTGTTCTATTTTATTCTTCTGTTATTCCATACACTGTCTCTACATTTTTTACACACTTCTTCAAGACTGACCTCTCATGAATCCACGCACACACATACACACGCACATGCAGTTTACTTTTCTGTGAGTTTTCTCTTTTACTTTCTATCTCAATCTCTCAAACCCCAGACTGAGGAATATAAAAGGAGAGATTCACATCTGTTAATGTCAGATTGGGTTCTTATTGAAGGAAGAGAGGGAAAAGCCAAGGTCACTACGGTGACCACACACACACACACTTCAAGCACCAGGGATCATTAAACCATCAACAGAGCGCAGAGGAGTCTGTGCATGTGTGTGTGTGTGTGTGTGTGTTGATAATGATGCCATTAAGCAGCGAATGTATTTATAGCAGTCTCTTTGTAAAGGAGAACACACACTGACCCTCTGAGAGATAGATAAAGAGGAGAGAGAAGGCAGGTTTATATGAAAGAGTTTTTTTTAACTAAAAGTTGATATAAGATGGCAGACATGTATTTCTTTGTCATTTATCCATAGATATGTCATATTTCACCCTCCATACGTTTAGGACACAAAAACAAAACTGAAGCAAAAAAAAACAAAGCAAATAAGAAAAAAAATAAATTATAGCTAAAAGCAGCAATGAACCAGCCCCAGCATGCTATAAAAATTTCACAAAAATCTGATTATGATTGCCATACAGTGCTTACTTCCTGTTGCCAGTAGGGGGTGTAGTGACTATGACTAAATATTGGCACGTAGATATGTTCAGGCGGGGACTCTTTTCAGACATTTGAAGGTGGTTGAGGTTGATTGGACAAAGTACACTCTAGTTACAACCACTGCCTTTTTCATGGCGGTACATCGAAATTTGATGCTACAATGGACACAGCGTTAGGCGAAGCTTTAAGATTTTGATAACTTTTTATTTTGGAGTTCTCTAGAGGGTACTGACCTAATTTTAAGTCAATGCGATCAATTCTGTGGGAGGAGTTTGTTAAAATAGAACACATAGAAATGGCAGAAATTGAGCCAAAATTAGACATGAAAATGGCTGACTCCCTGTTCGGGTTAGGATGTGGCTCCAAGAGGCTTTTTTGTAGATCTGGACATAATACACATGTGGCTCAGAGGTAGAGCTGGTCGTCCACTAATTGGAGGTTGTTGGTTGGATTTGGAAGTATCCTTTCGCAAGATACTGAACCCCCAATTGCCCCCGATGCTGTGCATCATTGTGTGGATGTGAATGAATGAGTTAGTTTCTGTTCGATGGGCTTTGCCATCACTGTGCAAATGTGTCTGAAAGGGTGAATTGGGACGTGTGTAAAAGCGCTTTGAGCTGGTCAGAAGACTAGAAAGGGCCTATACAAGTACAGACCATTTACCATACAGCTGTCAAGACATTTTTCAATGCACATGTATAAGACCCATAGAATGTGTAATTTTTCGCTACGACTGTTATGTGTACCATGTCTCTTGAGGATCAGAGCATGTTGCAGCAGCCAAAAGTGCAATTCTTTTTGGCTGAAAATAATAATTTCTTTAGATACAACAGGACCATCGCAGGGCTCACTGCTCGGGCCCTAATAAAGATGAGCAAACACTGAAAGGATTGGATCAAAAGTAGAACAAGGGCACATAAAAACACTGAGAAAGACTGTCTTCACAAGAACAGCAACTATAAATGACACATTTAACTTTTTAAGGCATTTTGTGGTTAAGTTTGAAAGCACGATGTGAATACACAATGTACCGTCTGTGTGTTGTCCATGTGTGTGTCTGAGGTAACTACATTTCACATTGTACTCTGACAGCATATTTTTCACTTGCTTTTTACAGGACTTTTACTTGTAAAAGTATTTTTACAGTGTGGTATTGGTACTTTTACCTAAGTAATAGATCTTTTTCCTCCCCCCTCAGCCTGGCGTTGCACCCGGAGCGCTCCCTGGTGGCGACCGGTCAGGTGGGGAAGGATCCCTATGTGTGTGTGTGGGACTCCTTCACCGCCCAGACCGTCTCTCTGCTCCGTGATGGACACACACACGGCATTGCCTGCCTCGCATTCAGCGCTGATGGACAGGTGACACACACACACACAAGTTTCATGTTTGAAATGGCACTCATACTGTGCACACACACACACACACACACACACACACAAACAGTGAGTGTGATTAATGATGCATAATCTGAACCAGCAGACCTCTGTGGTTGTGTGTGTCCAACAGATGGTTTTTGTCATTAAAGGACACTCATGTATCAAGCTAAAGGTCGTAGAAGAATAGTGCTTTACTTAGACACACTCACACACACACACACACACACACACACCTATACACACCTACATACACACAAACAATCTGCAGACACATTCTTGTCAACACATTGATAAAGTTGTGTCCTCTCCTGGTTCTATTTTATGGCTCTCAATCATTGTGAAAGCACAAGCCTCATTTCACCTCCAACAGTTTGACAGCAATCGAAGCAGAAACAACTTTAAACATTTGTTGGCATATCAATACTTCAGTCTGCTCCGCCAGTCGTAGACCTGTCAGTATGAAGGGGAAGTGCAGTTTAACCGGTTGTGTTGCATCAGCGAGGTTCAGTCATTACCTGTGGGTCTTTATACGCCTGTATTACTAATTTATCCTGTCATCATGACTCTCAACTTCTTTTTTTTTTTAAGTTTTTTTTTTTTTGCCTTTTATTGCATAGTGACAGCTGAAGATAGACAGGAAAGGTGGGCAGAGAGAGAAGGGATGACATACAGCAAAGGGCCACAGGTCAGATTTGAACCTGGGCCGCTGCAGCAACTCCGTACATGGGTCACCAGCTCTGCCGACTGAGCTAACCGGGCCCCCCCTCCAGTTCTGATATAACTGATGCTAGCAGCACCTATACTAACCTCTTTAGCTCACGCAATTGTTGCTTGTCAATTTTTGCTATTGTTTACTATTTGGGTTTTTTGTACAGATTGGAATGTAATATGAAATATCCATAAAATATGTCACTTAGTCAGGGGTCGTCAGTTTTCCCTTAAGGAAAAAGCTTGGGAACCACTGCTTTAGGGTAATAGATTGAGAGGGTTCAGCGGGGTTGTTAAGGCGTAAGGCTGGCAATATAGCACAAACAAAATCAACATCTTTCATTGATGGAAGAGGAAGCCATTTTTTTACATTTTAGCTCTTTCAGATAATGTGTAGTCAAACAACTTTATATATTGTATAGATTTTAAGAACTTACCACATTCTTTGTGCAAAGTAAACAGTAACACCAGCGTCAGATGATTGTACAAGATTTTCCTCTGTAATGTAATAGAGTATTAGTATAAATATGCACAAAATATGCACAAGGAACTTTAATTTGAAGTTTTATTTGCGCTTAAAGCCCTCTAGTAAATCTAGTCCGTTACTTCAGCTCATATAAAACGTGTTGTCGTCTTAAAAATGCAACAGATTTGATTTCAGTCATCGCTGTGTGTGCAGACTGAGCCAATATTTCCATCACACAGTCACCCGCAATGTTGTGGTTGATTTATATTGTGTGTGGCTCCATCATTTCCTCCCACTGACTCTCCAATGTGACTCAGTTCATCTGCTGAAAACGTCATCAAACAAACATACTTTGACTCACAGTGAGTTTTCTGGCATGTGGTGTCATATCTGACAGCAGTGTGACGGATTCAATATCATCATTTCACATGTCCTCAGACTGGTAGAGGGTTCAATCCACTGATCACCAGGAAATCAGTCCCTCCATCTCTTCAGTTCCTCCCACATGTCAGTAAACCTGTGAGAATGAAACCCAGCTCAGTGTGTCGTCAGAGAGAAGTACATAAAACAAGTCGACTCTGGCTGTGAGTGGGTGGCACAGTAAATACAATCTCTGCTCATGCTGCCTTCACACATACCACCCCAGTCTCACGCCAAAGAGCGTGTAATAGACACGCCAATCTACTAGAGCAATGGTTCCTAACTGGTCTTACCGAGGGACCTACCTTTCCCATGGTCATTAAGTTGCGACACGTGAGATTCAAATGTATAGTTCTACACACTCCGACAAATAAACACACAATGACAAGATTGGAATTATACACGGAGCAGCTATATATATTCACACACACAGTGTTATCAAATATACACATATTTTCATCCCTGCAATCAGAGCATGTTACTCTAATAATAAACTGAGTATGAACATCACAACTGCCTGCTGCTGATTCGTATTAATATATGAATAAAATTATGTGCAGAGGTGTTTACACACAAAATAAGGTAGGCCTCCAAAACTGACTGTTTTATTTCCCTTTTCTGTCAAAAATGATAATCAGACATCAGATAGCTGAGCATTTAAAATACATTTTATTACTTTTTGGTGCCTAAACTGTACTTTATATTGAAAGCATAACTGGACATTGCATATTTATCATTGCTAATTTGACCATGGTTAACAGTTTCTTGATGAGTTTATGGTCTCAATCTTTAGTTTCAAGTCTTCTTGCATACATGATGATGTTCATTTAGTAAATTATGGTCCAAATTAGAGCAAAATAGACGACAAAGCATTGTATGCTTTTGGGCGTGGCTTCCTTATTATTGACAGGCCACTCTCGGTGAGTCTGTCCAGCTCAACACACCAACTCAGATCAAACTGATCTATGGACAAGTCTAAACTGCGCAGCCAATGAGAGCAGCTCAACTTGCAGTGCGTCACCTCTGCTGGCTCCTACAAAATGTCATAGCGACGACTATGATACCAAACTAGAGGTCTGAAAATAGTACTCCACCAATGGGTGACATCACAACAGGTTCACAAATTAGTCTCATGAAGCTATCATTTATCATTTATATACTCTACTCCAACTGGACAGTTGTTTTCTGACGTACTACACATAAGGCAGCTTTTCATTTCCTGTATCACACTTTGTTTCCTGAGTACAGAATAACTTCCTTTATGGTCTTTTTGTTTTTTAATGCAACGAATAACAACGATGACTGAGCTGGCAACACTGATTAGCACTGGAGGCAATCCCTACTCCTCTTGAGGGGCGGAGTAGTAAACAACTCTCTTCTTTGCCTGGTAGTCCCTTGCATTATGTCAGAGGAGCTTTTCTCAACTTTCTCCTGAAGTATCACCCTGGGCTGCAAGGCCAGGTACCATTCAATGAATAGCAGCATGTGTGTCAGTGTGTCAGAGCAGTTGGAGTGGCGGTCTGGAGGTTGACAGCTGCTCTCCTTGAGCCACATTCTCTCTCTCAACTCTAAAAACCTCAAAGGAAAATGCACATCTTAATTTTCCTTTATTTCACAGTTCCTGTTGGCTTTTCATATCAGTTCTGCTTTGTTGTTTGTAAGTTGGTCTGTCAGCTCTTGTCTGGCAAGACATGATTGATGTTTTTATAGAGCAACAAAGTCCACATAAGGAGGAGGTTTAGGTGGGTGGATGGCTCAACAAAACATTGGACTTTAACGCTGTCTCCAGCCGACTATCAATATTGGTGCCTGAAATGGCACCAAGTACTGAGTACTGCCACTTCTGATTTTTGTCCACATGAGTACCCTTACTTCTTATTGAGTACTGCCACATCTGGTGAGCATGGCCATACCCACCATTGAGGTCACCATTTTCTTTCCAAGGGGCAGACAATAAAAGTAGTGAAATAAAGTCTATTCTTTGACACATGACCCAAATGATTCCACAAATGTGGGTTTTTTGTGACACGTTGACATTTTAGCTGGTTGAAAAGAGGGGTTTAGACGTTCAGACAGAATATCACCCAGTTTTCAACTAGAAATCAATGTTGAAATGCGGCTAGGGCTCACTGGAAAGCATAAAATGTGAGGAGGAGTGCTCTGCATGTGGCTGATCTCCTGCCTCAGCAGCTGATCTCTTATCAGCTATTGGCAGTTGTTATCATAAAAATGAGTAAATTCTAAAAATGTATTCAAAGTTATCCATACCCCAGAAATGAGCAACAGAGACATTTAAACCTGCTGTGGAAACTGTCCAAACATTAGCCACTAAACCAGATTTATAATGGCTGTTGGGGTCATTGCTGAGGTAGAAAACATTTGAAACTCAGGCTTTCAAAACTGGCAATAAAATGCACAGAGCGTTGTTTCCTTTGGCCAACTGTTAGAAATGAATGAAGCAGAATCAGACTGAGTAGTGAAGTGACTCTGTAAATAATCCATACTGTTGTGTCGGCAGTTTTTGCTTCTGCCGGGACTTTGGTCATGATGACTTAACTACTTTGAGTAAATCAGACTAAACACAGAATCAATAAAATTATCATAAATCCAACTTAATAATAAATCAAGCGCTCAGGGTTTGGTACAGCTGATTTATTATTAAGTTGGACCACATTCTGAATATTCCTCTAAACCTGGAATGCTTTATACCAGTGGTTCCCAACCTTTTTCCATAAAGGACCTCTTTTCTATCATTTAGAAAACTGATGCCCCTTGCTCAGGTGACATATTTGATGGATATTTCATATTATATTCAAAACTGTACAATGAACCCAAATAGTGAATTTAGTAACTGCAAGAAGTTTGTGTAAAACGAGTCATTAATGGGCTTCTTTTTCACAAATTCAGTGTTTTCTTGTCAATGTTGCTTGGCCATTGATCTATTAGACAATTTACTTAACAATTTACTTTACATTACAGAAGTGAACCAAGTGCTGCACTGCAAGTTTAAATTCACAGCTGAACATCAAAAAAGTTCTAAATTTGGTCCGACTTTGACTTCATGTGTGAAAGGAACAGCAGAACATGCTTGATAATTTACAACAAAATGTCATCAGAAAACATTATTTACATTTATTTATAATTATCTAAAAATTAACATGGAACCTGAGAACGGCCGTGGTTACTTGTACTTTAATTAAGTATTTCCATTTTACTCCACTTTATTTCAGGCAAATAATGTACTTTTTCTTCACCAACAGCTTTAGTTACTTTTTTGATTAAGGTTTTACAGAGAAAACATACAATGAGTTTCTACAATGTTATATTGTTAAACCCACTTATAATGTATATACACGTTATGGTAATAATAATTATATATAATATATTTTATTATATGGCAGCATTACAGTGACAGGGTCCATTCTGCTGTGAACACTATAAAAAAAAAGAATGAATAATTTCAAGGTAACTGTCTTCACAAAAAATTTAAGTTATAAGTCAAACTCTTTGCTGACCTCTAATGTTTTGTTGAATTACTTTTCTTTTTTAGAAGAACTTAAATCTTTGAGTTCTAAAAAAGAAAATTTGGTATTATTTATTTTATTTTTTACTTAAGGTTTTTTTTTTAAAAAAGAGCTGTGAACCTGATTTTTTATTATTTGAGTTTGACATTCAAAAATTAGTTGCCTTGAAATTATGAGTTCTAGAACGAGGAATTTATTTATTATTAACTCAGTGTAATTAGATATATTTGTCAGTTTCAAATTTTAATTGTTTGTCACTTTTGAAACCTTCAACTCATCAATTTAAGTTATTTAGAAACATATACACATATACTCCCCTCCATTAAGGGTATAATTCATGTAATTGTTTTCTTTCTGATCAAAATTAAAACAATGCAAACCGAGCTGCACTTCAGACACTGAACCAACATTATTCTTTGGCTTATTGTGACTAGGCTATAGGAAACACTGTCATGAATTATAAAGCTTAAAGTCATTCAAGTTGTTGTAAATTATTTCCATTATTTCACAAGATAACTGTAACTGTGAATTTAAAAAATCACAATAAATTACTTTTTTTTTTTTACTTCACAGGATTTAAAGCGAGGGTAGGTAACACTGTAGAAACTAGAAAGAGACAGCTAGATTTTGAAAGTATCCATTTCAGTCCGGGTTCTGTATTTCATTACCCACCCTAGCTTTAAGCAGCTAAAAGCACTGAATGAATATTTATTTATTCATTACCATAGTTACCTCCCAAAGGAATCCCAAAAAAATCACAATATTTGTGTCCTAATGCAGAAAACAGCTTTTTTCTCCTCATGCTTTCTGTGACTTTTCATTTAGATCGCTAACTCTCTCTCTCCCTCCTCTGTAGCGGTTAGCCTCGGTCGGCCTGGATGCCAAGAACACAGTGTGTATCTGGGAGTGGAAGAGAGGGAAGATCCTGGCTACAGCCACCGGACACTCAGACAGGGTGAGAGAGTGTGTGTGTGCTTTTGTGTGTTACATAGACTGTATGTGTGTGTTAACGTCTCTTTTTCCCTCCAGATCTTCGATATCTGCTGGGATCCGTTTCAACAAAACCGTCTGGTGAGCTGTGGAGTCAAACACATCAAGGTAATACACAAAAGAAACACTAAGGACGGTGATCCTCACAGATCCAATAGTCAAGATCGAGTCATCACACAGAGAAGAAATGTACTATACTGAGCTAACATAAAGTAAAACATGAACACTTCCATTAAAGCACAATGCATTTTTCAGACTTTTTTTGTCTTTTTGAATTATCTGACAGATAATTAGGTCTCAAGGCTGGTTTATAGTTGTACGTGATCTACGCCGCTGTAAGCTTTACTTACGCTGCTGTCTGCAAATAATGTCCCCACTAATACAACCAATGGAGCTGCTCCCTGCTGGCCATTACATAAAATGCATGTTTAAGACACACACTTCAATTGGCTCTGAGAAAATTGCCTTTTGTACCGGCTCTCCCCTACCACAGAGGTAAAATCCCTTAAACAGTAACAAGAACAGTAACAATCAAACCAATAATCTGCATGTATTTTCAATTTTCATTCATGCCAACTGCATGAATAAATAACTGAATATCCAACAAAAAACTTTAAGACAACTCACTGTGAGAAGCAAGCATTAATTAAAGCTGAACACCAGTGGTACAGCCTGAGAGAGAACAAGAAACACTTTATTTTATTTTTAAAGTATATTCTTTGGGGCTTTTATTGCCTTTATTATAGTGACAACTGAAGACAGACAGGAAAGGGGGGCAGAGAGAGGGGATGACATGCAGCATAGGGCCACAGGTCGGATTCCAAACCCCTGGGCCGCTGCAGCAAGGACTCAGCCTCGGTACATGGGTCGCCAGCTCTACCCACTGAGCTAACCGGGCACCCAGAAACACTTTCTTAACTCACTACTCCCCTCTCTCCCCTCTCGAGCACCAACACCAAGCTTTAAAGACCATCAACATAAAAGTCTCCTCTCTCTGGATGTCTTTAACAGAAAGATGAAGCCAGAAAGGTTTTTAATGTGTGTCCCCTCTCTTCCCTCTCTCTCTCTCTCTCTGTAGTTCTGGTCTTTGTGTGGTAACGCTCTCACTCCAAAGAGGGGCATTTTTGGGAAGACGGGCGACTTGCAGACCATCCTGTGTGTCGCATCGGCTAAAGATGACATCACATACTCCGGGGCACTCAACGGGGACATTTACGTCTGGAAGGGACTCAACTTGATACGAACAGTTCAGGCCGCCCATGGGGTGAGTCTCATACCTGCTGACTGATACCTTCTACCTCCATTTAAGTTCTCAAAGTTGTATTACTGACTGTAGGGCTGCAATTAACCATTATTTTCATTATTATTCAGCTGATTGATCGATTATTTAATTGATTGATTAGTTCTATTGTCCAATCAGTCCAAAACTCAAAATGGTTGATTATTGTTATTATTATTTCATAGGTCAAGATAGAATCAGCAAATCCTCAAAATTGAGAAAAATAAATAAAAAGATAGTTTGGTCTTAAAAATGACTTAACGGTCCAGTGTGTAAGATAGCGTAACACGTGAAAAACACCCGTATCTACAGCCTACAGTGTTATGTTTGTCCGTTATGAGACAATATAGAAACATGGCAAACTCCATTGAAGGCAACCTGATTCTTATTTTCAGTTACAGTAATAGTAATATAGAGCCTCCTAAATGTTACACACTAGACCATTAAATGATTAACTGTTGAAAATGAAATGAAAATAGTGGCTGATTAGTTTTCTAATGACTGACTAATCGATTACACAAAGTACTCCAAAAAGTCTACTCATTTACAGCAACACAAATGTTTAAGATGTCACTTTAATAGCAGAAGATGTTCCAGATGTTTTAATAATGAAAATCCTGGGTTATGGGTTGGTTCAATAGGAGAAGCTCTCCTATTAAGAGAGATGCTGTACACATTTACACACAAGGCACAGCAGCATAACTTCATTGATTATTTAAATCAAGCAACATGCCGTCAGGATTGGTTAGTGCAGCAGTGGAGTAAAGCATGTGGATTCAAACTAAGAAATCAGAAATGATCTGAGCATCACTAGCGGGTACCATCCATGAAAGACATACATAGTGGAAACCTTGATTGTGTATGATAGCTGTGTGAATTTGTGTGTGTGTGTGTGTGTGTGCAGGCCGGTATCTTCAGTATGTATGCCTGCGAGGAAGGTTTTGCCACAGGAGGCCGAGATGGTTGCGTCCGACTGTGGGACGTCGACTTCAAACCAATCACCAAGATCGACCTGCGAGAGGCTGAGCAGGGATACAAAGGTACAAAACACACACAACAACCCTAACCCTAACCCTACAGTCATAATATCAGCAAGACAGAGAATTACATTTATACAGTTTGGACTAAACACATCTTCAGGAGTTTTTATTTTATTGAACTTTTTTTGATTTGTGGTTAGATGAGAATCCAGCCTTCATCAATTAAACTAAATAAAATTTTACTAATCGCACTAATATGATGAATGCAGAAGTTCAGGCCACGTTTCTAATTCATTTTAGACTTTTGGAAGCCACAAAGACCAATTTCAATATCAGATTTTATTTGCAGGTTAAAGAGCTGATTCAGATTTATTGAAGTGGGGTTGTCTGAGGTACTTATCCAAAGTCAGTGTATGAGTAGACAGAGGTCGGCATGCCCCCAGTTTGGAGAAGCAGACAGGAGGACCAGCACAGAAGCTAAGTAATGTACTGCTGTGGACTGAGGCATCAGAATTATAGCCACCTAAAAAAAGCCCCTCCTAAAAACTCGGTTCCAAGTATTTGTAACATTTCAACTGCTTATTAGTTTAGATTCAACAACTGTTTTCTGATATTATACCACTGTGGTTATGGGTTGGTTAGGTTTATGCACCAAAAATATCTTACTACTCAATAGATCTGTTAATCTACATCTACAGACAAAATTAAGCAGTTGAAATGTTACCAGTGTTGCTGTCAGACAACCTTTTCTGTCAGGAAACTGAAAAATTTATATCAACCTGTCCTCTCTTCAAATTTACAGACTCATTTGACAAAAACGGTACTTTTACCCCACAGTACAAAGGAGTTGCTGGTCCACTAATGCCTCGATCTGTCAGTTTGTGTTATTGTGGGATTTTTGTGTTTTAATACAACGTTTGCAGCCAGAAGTGTTTGCACAGTTATAGGCTGTAGGGTGGACCCTTTGCGATGACAAGCATCTAATGCTGGGAACCGGCTGGGACCCCTCGTGTCCAAAAACACCCCCATGGACGCATACCATTACTTACTGTTTAATACCAGGTGGAGACTGAGTTAAGTATGATGTTGCCATCTGAAAGAAGGAAGTGGAGACAATAATGTGTGTTAGACAAAGGACCTGGACTTGACTAACCATCTACTGTGTGTGTAAGACCTTTATACCTGTAGAGACCTCTCTGTTAATGAGGAGCTCTGGCCTTTCCGTCTCTATGTTCACAAACATGCCCTTGACTAGATATTTAAACCTCTTCTTCAAACTTAATTTAACTCACTGAGTTTAAATATCATTATATCTTTTTTCTAAAGGCAAATTCTGCACATCACTTCCCCTCCGTCTCCTGGAAACCAGAAGAAAATGAGAAGAGAAGGTCATTTTGAAATCGAAGACTCTTTTGTCAGTTGAAGGTTGTGACGCTGCAGTCTCCACTGAGTTCAGTCCTCCTTTTGAAAAAGTGAACGCTTGAATCCTTCACCTCCATTTCAGTCTCTCTCTTTTCCCTCTGAACATATTTGAACAGTCAAATTGTCATCCTCGGCCTCTAGTTGGAGATAGGATTGACCTGATTTTCTGTCTTTCTCATCCCTGACAGTGTTTGAGGAGAAGTTTTCAGTAACTAGGAGAGCAGAGGTGTAAAAGTTTGTCTTCTTCTCTCTTCAGCAGAAGAAACGAACTGACCTGATTTTGGGGAAAACCCAGAGGGTGCTGAATATTTGAACCTCTCCCCTTTTTACTGCTAAATGCCGTTCAGCAGCAGGAGGTAGAGACGTATTCCTTTAGAAAAAGCTGTGGGGGTGAGCCATTAAGCCCCTAGCCCCCTTTTCATGTCTCCTCTCTGAAGATCTCTGAAAGTTAGAAAAAAGAAAAGAGGAAAGGAAGGAGGTAATGGTTTTGTTGTCTCTGTTCCCAGTCAGAGTTGGAAATGGCCTCATTTTGTGGAGTTGGAGTAGGTGAAAGGTTGACCCCTTCACCTCTCAAAGGGCTATAGAGGAAGTTTGGAGGGCAGGAGGTAAATGTTACTCCTCAGCAGGAGATGGCTTCCTCTTTAACAAGGGTTGAGCACAGGAAAGGTTTTCAGTTATTTCTGTTGTGAAGGTGAGAATAAGACAGAAGGTGTGAAGGTTTGTCCCGTTATCAGCCGTGTCTGCTGGTCTGTTGGTGCACCACTTCAGTCCAGACTGTAATAACTTATACTTGAACTTAACTTATAACAACTGTAGGATGAATTACCATGAAATTCGGCTTGGTATCACCAAATAATTTATGCATGACAAGCCAAAGTGTTAAAGGTCCAGTGTGTAACATTTGGGACGGTCTTTAGGCAAAAATTAAATATATCCATAGGATAATAATGTTCTCATAAGTGAGTTTTTATCTACAGATGCCGCAGGTCACCTTCCGTGGAGGCTGCCCTGGTGCCATCATGAAATTCATGTTTTTTATGTTAAATGCCTCAAAAAGTGTGGTTCAGACATTCATGTTAGCGTTTAACTCAAAGCAAAGAACTGCTAGCATGACTGTAGCGTAGACTCTTATTTACACCTCCTCCTTTGTAGGGGTAGGAGATGGAAACAAGCTCCGTGTGAGAAGGTAAGGACCAGGTTGTGCTCCAAAGAACTTGAAAAGAGTTCTTATTACACGTTGTCCGACCAAAATCAAAAATGTTTGTAGTTGATTCCAATGACCCCACTTAAAGGGTAGGGGAAAACCTGACCGTTATGGAGATACAATATATGAAAAATAGATATAATAATGAAAATGTTCAGACTCGAAGACATTTGTGGTATTTTACTGAGTTGTTCACATAAAAAGGGACAGAAATAGTTCTAAAGAATAAAAAACAGGATTTGAGACAGAAGCTCAAACCCTGGCTCCTCTGTCATCTTCACACAACTCATCAATTACTGCTCATCAGTGAGTGGTTGGTTTTCAAAAGGGCATTTGCGTACATCAATGTATGTCCAAATTGTAAGTCCAAGTGTATGTCCAAGTGTCTGACAGCCAGATATAATGTGGTTTGTCCATGGCTCCAGTCTCACACTGCTGGTATGTTTCTCCTTATTGACCCGTCGTGCAACACAAAGCTTAATGAGGAGCATAGTAAAATAGACATGCATAAATCACGGTGTTGTTTCTCAGGAGTGCAAAGAGGAAGAGAAAAACTTCAAAATGAAATGAGAGCAAGACATCAGATCACATTTTTGTAGTCCATTTCCTTCCTTCCGTTTCCAAATGATTTGGTGAAGTTTTCCTCTTTGCTGCCTTCTGGCTGCTATAATCACTTCTGAGATGACATATCAGAAATTCTTCCTTCTGTACACCACTCTTACAGTGCAGAAAGTCTTTACCAATTATTTCCAATTTACCTCATAAACTCTTCCTGTATTAGGTTGCTATGGCTCGTGAACCTCCAGGGAGGAGTTTCTAACAAAGTTACAGGAAACATCACACGCTGATTCATGCCATCAGCGGCAGAAGACGCTCTAATTGGCGAGTGCTGTGCTGCTGAACAGCTTTGCTAATTAAATTTTAGATGCTGGGGAACAGGAGTGTGACGGTGAGGTTGGAAGAAAAGAAAAGTGTGTGCGTAACTTCTTCCCATGTAAAAAAAAATTTAAATCTTTCTTTGAGTCAGTCTGTTACTTCTGAAATCTCCAGAAGATGTAATATTACATTTGTCATATTTTGCTGCAGCCATGATTGTGTAATAAGTTCATCATTTGTCCTAAATCCCTAAAAACAAAGAATCTGCTTGAGCTTTGACAGTCGCTAGAAGCACATTCATGGCCATTTGTAAAGGTTTCTGTGTGTGTTGTAACTTTAGCTAAGCTAGCAACGCAAAGAGACAAATTCTCCAGTGTCTATGGGGAATATCAGTTGGTTTTACAGGAGCAGGGTTGGTTAGTGACAAAAGCTGCCACCAAATACGGCACCCGTCGCCAGATTAGCCAGCGATATGAAATTTAATAGCAATTTCAACCAGTAGAGGGCGTTGCTATGCATTTTTATAGCACAGTGCTGTATTTAGAATTGAAATACTTTACACTAACTCCCATATAGACAGGATTTCAGCAGACAACATTTGGTTTTGGGGTTTACTTACTCTTTAAAGGTCCAGTGTAGAGGCATAACTAGTTAAAAATTCATGTAGTACATTCAAGTAAGATTTTGAGTAAAGGACTTTTACTTTTACACAGTAGAATTGCTGCTACTACTACTACTACTACTTTTCAACTAAAAAATCTTTCTAGAAATTCTTCCACCTCTGATCCACATAGTTTATCTGAAGCTAATATGAGACTCCAGCTCTCTCAGGTGAATAAAGTGGATATCTTCCAGGTAATTTTTATTAAGCAATGTCCTCTTTGTGTTTGGATCCTTCCTCTGCAGCTCAACAAAAAAACACAGAGGAAATAAAAAGAGAGAATTTTGGCTCTAACGTTTGAAGATATTCTTGATTTGATGAACAGGCTCGCTTTAAAGGGGAACTTCGGCAGATTTTTACCCTAGTCTTGATCACTAAAGGTCCCCGAGTACT